TTCTCATCTTTTTATTGTCATTTATTATTTTTTATTTATGTTTTGTTGCATTACAAATAAACAAATATTTCGAAAAACAAAAAAAAAAAAGATCTACAAGAAAAGATCTTTTTTATCAATAAATTTGAAATTTTGTTCGACTAATCAGAAGAAAAAAATAAGTAAATTTTTGTTACAAATAAACTAATCGAATACTGAAATGAATATTTCAGTTTTTGAGTAAATGATTAAATTGTCAAAACGAATATTATTTTGTGGATATGTCACAGAAGAGGCGGAGTTGATCAAATACATCAGCGATCGTTGTGCAAAATATGCATTGCTAATTGCGCCAATATATCGATGCGTAAACTATCGATGATTGTAGCATTTATATTCGTAAATTTAGAATTTGACTCACTTTGAAAGAAAAATATTTCAAAATTTTTTAGATTCAAATTCAAATTAAAAAAATTTTTGCACACAAAATGAATTTTAAATAATATTTTCCTGTTTTCAATGCAATTTGCTTGTTTTTCTCTTTGTTTTTCATTTTTTCTTATTTCTACCATTTGATAGATTAAAAAAAAAGAATAAAATTCTCGAGTTTTCTTCTTTTTACTACTAAATTATATTATTTTAATTATTTTATGATATCAAATAAAAGTTATGAATGAAAAAAAAAGCATATAAATAATTATTTTGTTTTACTTTGTTTTTTCTTTTTTGATATTTTTTCAGCAAAATTCAAAACATGAATTCTTTTTTCACTGAAAATTACGTTAGTCAAAAAAAATTAACATAATTTTTTCTTTTTTTATTTTTTACTTTGCTTTATATTTGCTTTACATTTGTTTTTTAAATTCTTAGTATATTATAAACTTTTCTATTATGTTTCTACTATTTTTATATATGTTCAAATTAGCTCTAATTGTATAAAATTTTATAGTTACACATATATTATAATTATACATGAAATTTATTTTAGCATTACTTACAATTTGATAGTTTTGTCATATTTAGATTATACAATGTGATTTCATTATGAGATTAAAACGGACTTTGTGTTATTTATTTTTATTATTAAATAATTTTCCGTTGTATTAGAATTATATTTAATGATTCTGGCATTGTATTTTGACAAAATTTGAGAAATTTATTTAAAAAAGAATTAAAAATGCACAATTCATTAGTCGTTTTTTTGCGAAATTGGACGAAAAAATTTTTATAATTAAATGAAAGATAATGCAAAAAAAAAAATAAAAAATAAAAAATGAAAAAAGAAAGGAAATTTTATGATTTAGAAAAGAGCAAAAGCATATTTTCAAATTCAAAATTTTACTCAGTTATTTTACTACTCAACTAGCCTTGCTGGACAAAGGCAAAACATTCATTTCTTTGTTTATTTGATTTTATTAATTACTCTCAAGGAATTGGCATTAGTAGAAAGAAATTTCTTACGAATCTAAATTATAAACAAAAAGGTAATAATATATTTGGTTTGAATGTATTTGAGATGAAACTACAATAAAAGGAAATAATCAAATTTTGAAAATACAATTATTTTTTTCATGCTTAGCAGTTCTAATAAAAAATGGAAATGAAGGAAAAAAGGAAAAAACTATCAGTGATAATTAAAATTGTAATTTAAATTTGAATGCGAAAAGTTTACGTAATTTATTGATGAACTATGCATCATTGATAAGTTCCGATAAGTAATTCCGATAAGTATCCAATATCTATAAATCATTTAAAAAAAAGAAAGCAAAAACACATATATCATTATTTTTTTAAATTCAGGATGGATTTTTTTAATCTGAATACTGTAATTAAGTAACTTAAAAAAATATCGTAAAAGTCTACACTTACTAACAGATGGTGGGTGGCTTTCCATATGTTATATATTTTGCATTTGTTATCAATTTTGTTGTTTTCATCGTCCATTAATTTAGTTGATAAATTCAGAATTTACCTAAGTATCTAAATTACAGTTATAATTAACCTTTTATCATTCCTTGATAAGGTTTAGTTTTATATTATAATAAATTAAAAATTTTAATTAAATTTCGAAATAAAACAAATATTATTGATGAACTGCATCCATTTCTGTATTCACTACTCAATTAAAATTAATTCTAAGTCCATCAGCTTTTAATTATTTTTAGGCATTTTTAAATAATTGTATTAATTAATTAATTATTGCTGCAGTTGTTATTGATTGCATTTATTCAACAAACAAATTAGTATCTTTTAGTAAAACGAATACAATATTTTTACTCAAATATTCTAACTTACAGATCTGACCTTGAGGTCATGCTAATCTTATTTATGCAAATTGTCATCATTTTCAACTGCCTCCATTTCCTCGTCACCTAATCCTGTTTTGTGTTCAGTGCTCAATTTGATGTTATCAGACCACTCTTAAGCCTTCACTGGAATTTCATATCAATACTGTAACTCTGCCATGCCTAAATATCTCAGAGTAATGAGTTGAAAGTTTTTTTTTTTTCAGAAATTTATTTCATTCATTGAGAAAAACAAACGAATAACAAATTTATTTTTAAAATAATTTGCTACTAAAAATTAATTATGTTGAAAAGAATATTATAATTTTCAAAATATTTTCAGTTTTTTAAATTTTTAAATTCAGTTTTCCTTTACTATACTATTTATCACTTTGTATTATATGGCATTATTTTAATATAATCTTTAAGTTTTACACATTAATGATTAAACAATTATAAATGAACATTATGTTTGAGAAATGTTTATTGAAATTTTAATTGGTCAATTGAAATTTTAATGCACTTTTGCAAAATGTATTCTTCATCAGTCTAAATTATCATGAATTATCAGCATCGAAGTTAATAACATCAATCTAATAGTGATCAACAATTAATTGATTGAATCACTTGCATATTTGAATGAGCAATTAGAACTTTTGTAATGTTTTAAATTTAAATGTTTCATTGCTATTAACAGTTTCTATTTGCAACTTCAATTTACTTTTATTAATTTACTTTAAAAATAGGTATCGAATTTAGGTCAAATAATCAATAAGTAAGTATCTGTCAGGTAATAATATTCAGTGAAAAGTTGAAACTCCAAATGTTCTTTTCTCAAAAAATTTTTAAGAATAAAAAATATTTTTAAATTTAAAATTAGAATATTGCAGAAAATCGAAGTTCATTGCCTGAACCAATTTAATAATCTGATAAAAAAAGACACTGTTTGAATACATCCTAAACTTATTCATAACTTTTTCTCCATTAATAACAACGATAATAATATTTACAAGAACAATAAGTTCATTTATTGTACTAATAATATTTCTATTTCTAATATATCATTATAATCGTTATTAAATTTATTTTAATTATAGCAGTTCCTTTACTTTAGATTTCGAATTCAATCCATTCCTCTTATCACTTTCTCTTCATTTTTTAAAAATTTTTAAAAGTTTTGCACTAATCCTTGCTACTCTTTTTTTCATTCCATTAATCTTTTAATTCTTATTGATCCAATAATCTAACAAATAGATCGAAATTTCATTTTATTTATTTATACTCTTTCTTGTTTCTTTAATCATTTCCAAAAACTCTCCCTAACACCTGATTAATTTCTCTCTTTCTCTTCCTCTCTCTCTCTCTCTATCTTTTTCCCTCTATCTATGTGTACATTTGTTCTTTTGTTCTTTCTAATCTACAAATAAATAAATTTAAAAAAAAATGTTCCAATTTAGTAGCAAATACTATGTATCAGATTTATTCATTTAGTTAGTAGCAAATACTAAAATACAAAATTTATTTTCTTACCTTTTCATATCTTTTTTTTTTTTCATTTATCAAATAAATTTTTAATTCTAACAATAAAATGAATTGCATTCTTTTTTTTTTTGTTTACTTACTCTTTCATTTCAAGAGACGTTTAATTGAATTAATTATACTATATGAGATGTCTTTCTTCTTCCTTTTATAATCAGTTAAATTAAAATATTATCATGTGAATATCGCAGTAGCACTCATATATTCGATTAATTTAAATTTGAAATACTTTGCTTATTTTAGCTCGTATCTGCAATGTATGATAATAAGCAAATAAGAGTAATCAGCTTTGATCGTCAATAATGGTAATGCAACAATAACAACAACAACAACAACAACAGTCTATTGTATTAGGAGCTGTACAGAAGTAGTTTGGTGGAATTGAGGGAAGGTTGTCATCAAGTTTGGCTCTCCACTTTTAAGACTGACAAATCAAAGAGCTCAGTGATCGCTAAGAACCCTTCAGATGTTCACAATGAAAACAAATTTCAATATTTTGTAAGTGAAAGTACACTTAGCAGGTCATTCTAATGTGTCACCACTGTCACATTCAAATACCTTACCTCACTTATTGGTAAACACCTTATGTAATACTTTGTCGGAAAATAAGCATATCGATGTAATTGAATTATGAAAATGAAATGATTTATATGGAAATAATATGGAATAAACAAAATTTTTCATTATTTCACATTAAATTATGTTGAATAATATTGAAAGTAATGCTGAACCAATGTTAGATTCGATTAGAAAATGATAGAATTCTTGATGATTGATTGAAACATCAGACACTGAAATTTTTTAAAAATTAATTTAAAAAAAGCTGTAATTGATTAGAAATTAGAAAAGAAAAAAAAATAGCAAACTTTGAAAATGCTAATAAATAGACGAATTGATTTGAGATTTTAGACAAAAGTTTTAAATTAAATGTCTTTAAACACTTCAAAAAAAAAGTAATAATACTGAATTGTTAATTTTTTAAGAGTAAATAAATTTATGATTTATTTATTTGCTTTGGATAATGTTATGTCTTAAAAAGTTTCATTTAAAATTTAATTTATAGCGAATGCTTGAATTTTTTCAAAACAAAGTTACTTGATAATTTGATAAATTTTACTTAATTTTATTGTTTTTAATTTTTCATTTTATTCTGTTTTCCAACAAAGACAAACAAATCAACAAAATCAAATTGAATCAATGGCATATTTTAGGTTATTAGCATTGCTGTGGAAGCATATAATTTGTGGTACATTAACAAATGAGGTGCATTGCACCCGAATAGCACCGATTCAAGGAAGTGCTGCAAATATGGATGATTCCGGAAAACGGATTCAAGAAATCAGTACAACTGTTGCTGATTTAACACTTAAAGAAACATTATGTCTTAATTTTTCGGTATTAAAAAATTTATATTAGATAAACAAACAAAAAAAAATTATTTTTTGCAAAAATGCCGCAAAAAAAAGGAAATAAAATAAAATTGAAAATTATAAAAATTCAATACAATTAATAATTTTTAAAATTTCACATTAGTATGAGACATAATATTTCTAATCTCAGTGATTATCAAATTATCAGAAATGAATGAGTATAAGAATATAACAATAGCAACTGATAATATCAATAATAATAGCAATAATCATGCATAATAATTATTATTAATATATATTTTTGTCATTTTTGAAAATTTACATCAATATTAAGATTTTTAATTTTAATACTTATCAAAACATTAAAAACTAAAGGTCAAATTCCAAAATTTAGCACATTATTTTTGAAAATTTACGTTAATATTAAGGATAATACTTAAAAAGATTTTTTACAAGTAACAAATTAGCCATAAGACGAAGAGCATATATGACAAACATCAAAATTTAGCGTAATTTTCTATTTTTAAATGTTTACTTTAATATTCCAATAATATTTATCAACTCTTTTGGCAACTAGCAAATCAATAAAAGTGATAAAGTGGTGTGATAATGATAACAGTAGTGATTAGTAATGATAATAATGATGAAAGGATGGGATGAGAACACAGATCCACACCATTGAATATGTTCGCATGGAACAACAGTTTCCTGTTTCCGCATCCTACAAATTCGGAATTCCGCTGATCACAACAAGTTGCATCTGTGATTGTGCCGGTGCCGAGCAGTATTGCAGTGTGGATGATTATAAATATAAGTAATATTAAAATGTCTTTTTTGTTTTTCTTTTTTAAAAATGAAGAAAAGAAATTTTTCGAATTGTAATTAAATTTGATAAACTATTTAAAAAATAAGAAATATTTATTCAATTTATGTTAAAGAATAATAAATGTTTTTAATCACACAAATAAAATAAAACTATTTTTCTAGTTACCAAAATGTAATAATTGTTTAATTTGATAAACTATTTAAAATTAAAACAGCATATGTTTACGTGAACAAAAATATTATTTAATTATAATTAACAAAAATAAATATTTTACACTCTGAAAAAAAAAAAAAACTAAGAAAGGATTACATATAATTTTGTATTTAATTAAATTTTATATTTTATGAATTGCACAAAAGGCTCCGTCTGCTATCGGACATACTACGCACATCAGTCGAGCAGTGGTTGCTTGATGTCATCCAAAAGTGAAGTTTGTTGCGAAGTTGCGATCGAACCGTGCGACGTATAACTTTCATTTCACATTTCAATTTTATTCATTACCATTTTTTTTATTTTATTAATTTCTAATTTATTCACTTCTACTTATGTTTGTGTTTATTAGCTTAAATTAAATTATTTATTCATCTTTATTTCTTTAATCTATCTCTAAACTGTTTTAATTTAAAAAATATATAATTAATTCAATATATTAGTTTAGCTAATATGTATATTAATACTTATCCAACTATTCCGTCTATTTACCGAAGAAACAATTTATTCAAATATTATTTGCGAGAATTTTCCTTCTCCGTTATAATCGTAGCCAAATGTTTAACAGTGATAAGTAATCATTTTCTAATCTTAATTTTCATATAATTCTAATATGTTTTGATTCCATTTATTAATTTTTTACTTTTTGGAAATGATATTAACATATTTACTTGCTAATTTTAATTTATCAACAGGGAAGAACTTATACAGCTGTAAAGTTAACTCAACCTGATACAATAATCATTCTGCGACATCGCATTTACGAGCGTCTAGCAAGTCGCTGGACAGAAGCAGCTTCTGAAGAATTTGAAGCAGTTGTTAATAAAGGTTCAGCTAAAATGGAGACAATTGATAAGCGACAGGTTTTTTCTAATTGAATTATCATTTGAATACTATTTAGGATCACTTTTTTGAATGATTGAATTAGAATTTTAAAGTATTAAATTCATTAAATGACAATACAGAAAAAGAAAAAAGTAATTGTTAAAAGTGCTTTGATGCTTTGTTCTTTTTTCTTCATTTATGTTTCTTTTTTTTAAAATTACTTTAATATGAAATTTTTTCTTTACGATAATAATTAATTGTTATCATATATATATTATCTTTTTTGCAGATGGAAATACGAACGACAACAGGTCGAGCAATCCGTGAAATGTTAAACGGAATGTATTATTTCTCGAATGATAATCGTCAATTAATGATGGGCGTACGACTAAATGAACCAACCGAAAGTGACATTCATAAGTTGGGTTGGTTACGCAAAAATGCTAATTCATGGTTGATACGTAATGGAATTATTAAAATTACCGATTCACAGGTATACAAAATTACTTCAATTTCATAAAAAAAAAAAACAAATGGAAGGAGTTAGTATTATGTGGAAAAAGTGAAAATTTTTCTTTGAATTTTATCTTTCTTTTTTGTTTTGACATAATTAAATTAAAATTAATATAAATTAAAAAAGAATTATTCTTGAATTTTTTCGAAAAAAACCGGAAAAAAGTATTTTTTTTTATTTGTAGCATGTTACAATTGAAAATTGTAAAGGACAACGTTATTTAACTCGATACAATGCAGAATATTTTATAACTTCCGATGATCGTATCACTGATCTTGATCTCGGCTATCCGGTTCATGAGCAGAACTGGATTGAACAAGTGGAAATTTTAAATGATAATCGAGCAGTACGAATTGTTCATGCTGAAGGCACTGTAGTACATATTAGTGTTAGCAGTGACACTAGGTGAAAGTTTAAATCAAATTGTAAAATTTAAACTATAAATTATATAAATGTAATAATTGCTGACTGTATTAATTTTTAATGATTTTTTGATAAAAACAAAAGTTATCCATTGCTAATCTAAACAAAAAATAAATTTTTCTAAATCTTTTCTTTTGCTTCAAACATTCGTTTTAATCGTTAATGAATTTATTTTTGTTTTCTTTTAAGGCCCATAATTGTACGACATGCATCACATTTGCTAACATTCAATGGAACAATTCGAATGGATGATCAATCAAATCGATTTCTCAACCTTACAATACTTGTAAACTTTGTAATAAAAAGTTGATAAACATAAAATTACAATCATAATTAGTTAAATATTTTGTGGTGGATTTTTGGTGCAAAAATAAAAAAACAAATTCAAAGTAAAAATAAGAATCAAACTCAAAATATAAAAGTAAAAAAAAAAATTGATCTTATTCACTTTAACTTATGTACTGTTTTAATTTATTACTAATGATTATTTGATTTAAATTTTGCATCAAATAATTTTGCAGTAAAACTCACTAAATTATTTGTTATTAAAATTATTTGCAGACATTTTTTTCTCTTTTTTTTTAAATTTTTTCGAAGCATTGTAATAAGATTTTTAATAGTAACTTATAATAGTAGCATTGAATGATTGATCATTTTGCTTTCTGTTTTTTTTTTTTTTTTTTGGAAACAAACATTATTTTGAATTATTTTTAATAAGAAATAATTCGAAAAACTTAAATTTCCAAGAAGAGAGGAAAACATTAGCAAAAGGGAAAAGTTTCATTTATTGTTCTCATTTTTAGGGTGGAAAAGGGACATTAATTGGTTATGTGCATCGGTCAGAGGACAAATCGAGCACCGATTGGAGTTTTAGCATAGAAATTGGCACCGCAACAAGGACGAAATTTACTGCGACGATCGGTGGAATTCCAACAGGAATAATCTCCGATCGGTATGTGTGCTTGCAACCGGCCGGTGATGCCAGTGCGGAGCAGTGCAAGTGGTTAAAGTAAGCGAGAAATTATGTTTCAGTTTTAGTTTGTAATTAAACTGGGAATGAATTTGATTATTAATTTGTACTGGAGTGAATTTTAATGATTAAAGTTAATCAAATATTGAGGAAATGAAATTTGATCTTTTATTTATAGTTAAATTAGAAATGAATTTGAATATTAATTTATTTCATATTTTGTGTACGATGCAGTGGTGAATGCTTAAAGTAAGTTATATATATTAAGAAAAATCTAATTTTTAATTTATGGCAAAATTTGCAAGTGAATTTGAATACTAATTTATATTTCAATAAGTTTTATGCACATTTTGTTGTTGCTATAAATAAATATTTTTGTATTTTTCTACATATATTTCCGTGTTTTTTTTTGAATTAAAATTTAAAATTATTTAATGTGATATAATTCAGATACGAAGCATCGCCGCTACGTGAACGACACGTGGCACACCGTTGGCAAGCAGGTATTGACAATTGTCCAGGATGCAACGAGCGTGGTATCGAGAATTTCCTGCTCAATCTTGACCCACGACAGTGGCTCAACGGTCTAAACTCAACAACCGAAGCAGTCACTTGCGCTTTAGAAATAGCGCTTGTCATAGTAAGTATATTAGCCACCGTGCTAATATGCACAAAATGCATTATTCCATTAGCCAAATGTACGGTTTCACTCAGTAAACCACCAAAAAAATGAAATTTTATGTATTAATTTGATTAATTTATTCTTAAAGCATTTAACAATACACAATTTTACGATATTATTTAACGTTTTTTGCTAGTAAATCTTACAATTAATGCTGAAATTTACAAAGCAAATAATTTCAAAAACTTTTTTTATTTTATTTAAAATGCCTTTATTAAAGTGTGCCTTATTAATTTTGTTAATTAATTGCATTATTTTTGCATTGTTAATTAATATGCATGCACTATGCCTCAGTTTATTCATTTGCTCAAATGACATTTGACCATGAATTTGAATTCTTAAACAAATTTTTAATCAGAAATCATTAATTATTTGGAGTTATTATTCTGACATTATTAATTATTCTGCCACCAAATTCTTTTAAAAGTGTTTTCTTTTTATTATCTGATAAAGCTAACTGCTGGTCATAAGTCATAATTTGTATTGAAAAAATGATGTTCCGGTGATATTACAATCGTATTTAAATTAGAGTTTAAAAAAAAGAAAAAAGAAATTTGTAATTTACTCTGTTTCTGCTGATAATAGCGATACTCTTTGATATTATTCTATTATCACTACATTAATGTATGCTATTTATGCTTCCAGTGATATCATATGATAAGAAAAAAATCATTTCAATGAGAAATTTGAAATTTGTGATATTTGCAAAGTGTCAATTTAAAAATCGTTTTTTTACGTTTTTTTTTTTTTAAATTTCTTAATGAAGTATAAATTAATCTGTTTGTTCAATAAATTACTTTAATAGAAATTTCTCCATTTGGATCAAAATTTCTTTTTTTTGAGAAAAAATTTTTAATTTCTCCCACATTTTTTAGTTTTTAGTTCTTATTTCTTAATTTTTTATATTATATAAATGTATTACATCTCGCATAAGATACTAACAAGAGAAAGTGATAAGATGAGCAAATTATCACTGATGAATTACTGATAAGGCAGAAAATAGAGTGCAAACTGTAGAATAATCCTAACTTGTCTTAATTAATGCAAAACTTACAATTTGTAAATGACTTGTAAATAAGTGAAGTCACGCTTAATTATTTCTTAAAGTTTATCTTAATTTTAATATTCATATAAATTATCAACATTTTTGATTACTGTAATATATTGTATTGTTCCAGTTAATATCAATGGAATAAGAATTAAAATAATTGAATATGGATTCAATTATTTTGATTAACTTTAGTGGTGCTAAAATGCATGCAAAATGCATGCCAAAATGCACGCTACTGCAGCACAGCTAAATTTAGCTACAAGCATTTTTTTATTTGTCGAAATTTGTTTACTTTTCCTTCAACATTTAATTGTTCCATTGTCAGATATTTTTGCCACTTTGAGCGGTTTTATTTTCTTCATTCACTCTTTCCGGTATCAAAGAACTTATAGCTGCTTTCCGTACTGCATTTCCTTTTCTTGCCGGATCTTCCTGAAATATAGAAGTACCATAAATATTTGCTATGCAACGAAAGAATTAACATATCTGAATAAATACACTAAATCATTTAATGCTTGCAAAAATTTCTGTTTTATTTACAAAAAGGAGAAATATTGATGTATAATTTATTTTGCTCAAATTTTATCGTTCAAAATTTTTTATTTCTTATTAATATAACTTTAATTTAATTGATAAAAACTTTTTGCTTATTACAGAAAAATTGCTTCCATCTTTGATAATTTCATTATGTTACACATTAATTAATTAATTAGTTAATTAATTAATATATTTCGCATTTGTTAGTAATAATAATAATATCAATGGCAAATGAATTAACACAAATTGTAAACAACATTTGTTTATTTCATTATTGCTATTATTATCAATGTTTTTGTTATTAATGCTATTATTATCAAATATTATCATTGTTGTTATTTATTATTGATAACAAAATGATTAAAATCAGAGAATCAATGGAATCAATGGCAATTTGCTAAACAAAAAAAAAAAAAAAAACAAGTTAAAATTCATTTCTCTGTTAAATTTGAATAAATTACTAAAATTATTAGAGTTTATCTTTAATTTCTGCCTTTTTTTTTTTTTAGATTATTGAATACCAAATTTTTTTCGACGTATGATGGCGCATCAGCAAAATATGAGCTATCCAAAATTGGCGCTTGGTGACAATAATACCGTTTGCGCTTATATTTTGTTATTGCTAAGAAAGCCAAAATGCAACGTACGAAGCAAATTGCAATAATTTCCAAAAGTATTAAAGCAAATGGTATTTGTATTACCTAAATAAAAAATTAAAAGTTAAAAAAAGTTTTTTTTTGAAGTAAATAAAATTTATCTCAACCAGAAAGCTATTGGCAAAATTTTTTTTAGTATTGAATTAAAAAAAAAAAAAAAAAATTTAGGGAACTCCAATTTTATAAATTAAATTAAAAGTGTTTGTGCAAGACAAAAGTTTATCACTTTGAAAAGCAAAAAAAATTTTAAATTGTTCTATTGAGGAAAAAGAATTTATTATGAAATGATGTAAACTTTTAATAAAATTAAAAAAAAAAAAAAAACTACAGCTGGACAAAATGCGCGATGATAAAATTTGATTTGTCAAAATTTTTTCTTAAATAATTAATCAAATATCATAGCTGTCTTTTTTGTCGGATTTATTGGCGCATTTGAGATATTATGAAGTATTAGTTAATTAGACTAATTGCGCATGGCGCACAAAGCAGCACACCCATTGATCAATGATTTGTCCCTCTTCAATATAATGCATTTCGCGCGGCGCAAAATGAACGACAACAGCCGTTCATATGCGATAAAAATTGTTTCACTAAATTAAATTAATTGAGAATAACATAATATATGAATGTTTGAAATTGTCAAATCTGTCAAAATTTTTAATGAATTCGTCGGTTTTTCTTTTTTTGCTGAAATTTAAAAAAAAAAAAAAAACAAATATATTATCAAATTAAAATAATGAAATTAAAGGATCTCAGATATTCCAAATATTATAATTCAAATAATGAATTTAATTTAAACTTTATTTAATATTGTAATTTTATTTCTCAAATAGAAAATATTCGAATATTAAATTTACAATAACACTGCCCAAATATTAAGAATGAAGAATTTTTTTTCTTTTCTTGTTTAAACAATTTTTAGCATATTGATAAATTTGATAAGTTCCAAATTTTACAATTTTAAAGAACAAATTAAAAATTAAAGTGAAGATGAATAATAATAGATAGCTTACATTTCCAACGAAATATTAGTGAAAATTTTCCATTTTTGTTTACCATTTCATTACTAATAAATCTTTTTTATTGAATTCAATTAATTCATTTCAATTCATTTTTATTCTTTTTTCAGAACAATTTTCCATTATTTTTCGTTTATTTCAGTGTGGAAGTAATCTTTTTAACTTTTATTTTTTTCATTTCAAATGGAATAAATAAATTTGTTAACAAAAGAATAAATAAATTTTTATTGCGTTAATAACATTGCATTTTATAGCATTAAAGAAAAACAGAATGAAAAATGCTAATAATATTATCAATAAAAATATTTGATTGTAAAATTTGCAACATTTAGCGAAAAAAATTTACTATTTTAGATACAATTAAATCAGACCAATTTTCTTTGTTTCTTTTTCAATTTTTTTGAAACAAATGGAAACTCAAATTAGAGTATCTAAAAGAAGCTAACAATAACAAAAAACAAAAAAAAAAAAAAAAAAACAGATAAAAAAGTGAAAATAATCTCAAAGCTAAAAAAATATCAAATCATAAATGTATTAACAATTTGATAAAATGAATTTCTTTTTGGAAAAAATGCAAAATGTTTGCAATTACACACATAATTGTTTATTTCTTTTTAATTTATTACTCACAATTAATTATTTATTATTAACTTTATAACAAATATATTTGCTCAAATTAATTTGTTTATAAATGCAACAATTTTCTTATTTAAAAAAACGAAAATTATAATATGCATTGCTCATTTAATTACATCTTTTGTATTCAGTTTTTCATTTTTTGTACTATTTTTTGTTTATAGACTATTCTACTTGTTTACGCAAACTTTCAAACAATTATTTATATTACTTAATTTGAAATAAAATTATTTACATACTATCATACACAGAAGCAAAGACCACATTGACAGTCAGTGTTGAAATTTAAATATTTAATCACAAAGCGATGACTGCACTGATAACAGTTCAGCAGATGCATTCTGCGCCGCTGCACTTTCCGCAAATGACAAATAGCACGGCGCATTGAAATCTGTTGATGACATATCAATTATAGCAATGTATGTTGTGGCCATGCCGAATAGTACCGATACTACTGCAATCAGTCAAGCAATTATGATTACTTATTATGTTCTTTTATTATTATTATTATTATTATTATTACGGTTATGTTATTATGATTAAGGTTCCATTTAAAAAGATGGAAAAAATATTCCACTACATTTAATTAATTTATCATTTCATTATTTTTTACCCTAATTATTTGTTATTAATTATTTTTAAAAAATAATCGATATTAAAAGAGAAATAAAAATTTTGATATATTTAGGCATACTTAAAAATACTGAAATTGGTCATTTTTTAGGTGAAAAACAGAAAACAAGAAAGGAAATGAAAAATTTTAGGAAAGAAAATTTGTTATCAATCGCAATGATAATAATTATTATTTTGTTTGTTAGGAGAAATGATAACATAATGAGTGATAACAGTTCTCATAGGATTACTTATCATTACATAAAAAAAAAGTAGAAGGACAGAAGCATTCAAATTCAATTTATTAAATTTAGTTGTTTATTTTAAATTTCATTTACATTTTCTTTTTACAAATCGCAAAATACAAAGGCAAAGATTTTCTTCAAAAAAAAAAAAAAAAAAGAAAATGCTTATAGTATGCTTACCAATAACAATGAAATCAATCAATAATTTAATTTTTGAATTTCGTTGAAGTACTCTGAAAAATTAAAAATTTAAATTACATTTGTGCAACAATAACAATTACAATAATAGTATTAGTGCAAAAAATAATTCATACTAATTTTCAAAATTTTTAAGCGAAAAAATAGTAATTGGATGTACTCAAATATCATTCAACATACTTTTTTTTTTTTTAAATTTCAAGTGAACAAAATAAAGTAAACAATGTTCATAATTAAATTATTGTGCCATCTATTTGATATATTTACTTATTCATTTAATTATCAAAATGCTTATTATTCATTTAATTACCTTTTTTTTTGCTTCGAAATCAAATTTACGTTTTACGTAAAACTTTCACGTAATTCATTATTTCCACCTTTTTTTTCATTTGTTTTATTAAAAAATGAAAGAATAAAAAATTTGTAATAGTAAAAAGAAATGAAAAACGAAATAACTTAGTACTGTGAAAATGTTGGTCGTTTATAAGTATTTGTGATTGGATCGCGGATCGATGCGTTCAGATAATTATTGTAAATAAGCGGTAACATTGCTGATGTGAGCGCAACTGTACTACCGCCAATAACATTTAGGATTGGTCCGAATTTGGGTACTGTTTCCGCAACAAATAAAATTGCTAAAAGGACAATTGTACGAATAATAATTCGATGCCAACCGAAATCTGCAATAAAATGATAAATTGATAAGGATTTAATTAATTAATGATAATAGTCACAAATTGTGGGATGTCTAATAAATGATAAAACGTTTATCAATCTTATCAACAATTATAAATTAATGAGAGAAAATGACAAAAGTTAAACAATAAGAAAGTAATTGCAATAATTTTGATAATTGTTTCGATTTATGATTTTAAGCATTAAATTATTGAAAGGAGAAGTGGTAAAAATTACTAAACTTCAAATATACACAATCAATTTATATAATATCACTAAACTAAAATTGAATACTGAAATGTTAATAATACTAATTTAAATATATATAAACAATAATAATTATTATTTAATATAATTACTTTAGCAAAAGTTATAAAAGTTACTTAATTAAAATGTAAGTAATGAAGATTTGATACTAATTATCGAGTGGAAATTGTTGAAATGTTAAGAATATGGTAAGGGATGTAATCATTTGTTAGCAAAAGGTGAGAAAAGAGAAAAAAGAGAGAGAGAGAGGAAGTGAGAAAGGGAGAGAGAGAGAGAGAAAAAACATACGATGAGGAGCACTGACAAAGTTTTCCATTTCTTGATTTAATGGATTAATGACGACAGTTAATGTCAGTATGCAATGCACTGCGATGAATAAATTAGCACATTGTCGAATCCAACCAGTCGAAAAAGAGAAATTAATTCATAAAATTAAGAAAATTAATAATTCTCGGCGTTAAATAAATAATTTTAAAAGTTCAAATTCAATACTTCCAATATAATCTTTAACTTAATTCATTATAATACAAGCAATTGTCCATTTATAAATTTATTTCTTTTTTTAATCAAAACAAAGTGGTCAAATTCAGTTCTGTTTATTGATTTCAATAAAATTACTAAATTCAACTATGCAAAAAAAGTTTTTTTCTTCAAATGGAAAAAAATTTCAACAATTTATAAAAATGCAATCATTAAGTTACCAATATTGGTTTCATAAGAAACTGTTGCGTACTTTATTTTAGTGTTTGTCGCTAAATTTAAATTAATGTTTTATGATTTTCAGCAAAAATAATTCATAAATAAGGAAATAAATTGATGCGATTAGCTGTAAAATAAATTTTTTGATGATAAATCTACAAATAAAAAACTGAATGAAAAAATTTTTTTAATGATTAATTTGAATTACGTGGTACCTGTATAGAATTGATAACGGAGTCATGAAGTGAATTCCCGTACGTCACGTAACCGAGTATGGACACGGGTAAGTACAGCACTGCTACTGCTGTAATTGACAACATTTATTGATCGATTATGAATTAAGTATTAAATGAAGTGAAATGGATGACAGTTCACTAACATTTAATTAATACCAAATTAACGTCCATTGATTACTAAATTAAGATGAAAAATTTGCTAAGTTTGGTGAGAATTTCATATTCTAAAATATTAATTCAGCAATAAATAGTACCGCTGTAGGAATTTTCTAGAAAATATTTTCTGTCCTACTAATAATCACTACAAAAAGTCTCAAAGTGCCATATATTCCATTCTGATTATCTATTATTATTACTAATAACATTACTATTATTATTATTATTTTCATTATCGCCACTATTAATTGTTATTATTATTACTATTTACTTATAATCAATAATATTAAGTCTGAAACTATATATAATTAGATGCCTTTTTTTGAAAGAAAATTTGAAACAATTGTGATGTAAAAATTTATCTTCAAAATATATAAAAAAGGAAGAAGAAAGTTTTGTTTAAAAAATATTTTAATTAAAAACAAAAATATAATTAAGTTTGTTTGAAAAAATGTTGCGTTTTGTTCTTTTTTAAAACAATGTGTCCATTTTTTCTCTTTTTGAAAAATTGATTAAACAATCGGTTTTCTCCTTTTTTTTTTTTTGTTTTGAGGAAAAGAAGAAGAGAGATTGTTTGATTTATTGTGAAATGTATTTACTCTAATTTTTAACAATTAATTATTTTAATTTAATTTATAAAAGGAAAGAAAAGATATTATTAAAACGAACCGACAAAAGCTAAAATTGCAGAACGAATAAAATGTTTTGGATATTTCATGTCGTGCTGCACACTTGGAAATACAATGTGTCCACCAAAGCCAAACATAAATGTTCCCAAAGATGCAACGATGTCATTAAACCGGATGACTGGTTTTTTCTGGTCAGTGCTACATTTTCCGTAATCCAACCATGAACCAAAAAGGATGAGGAATACGGAAAACAGTGTTGTTAGCATAGCTAATACAACCGCCCACCTATTAAAATTACAATTTTAATTAATTAAATCAATATTAATTGTCGTTGTTTTTCATTTTTTTTTTTGCTGAAATTATACACAGAAATTTGATAATAATTAAAATGTCATATTAAACTTTTGTAAATGTTAACATTTGATAGTTCATTGACGACAAATTTTAAAAGCAAAAAAAAAGCTTTTCAAAAATAACTTTTAAAATATTTTTTTTATAAAATAAAAAAAGAATAATTCTAACTGAAATTACCAAAAATCTTGTGGTGATCGTAACAATGTTACCGGATAAATAGCTACTGTAACAAATAACAAAACATAGCAAAATCCAATATCATAATTAGTAATGGAAATGATAAAATCATTAATGATATAAGCTGCTAGTAAACAAAAGACAACGGCGACACCAAAGAGGACAGTGTTGAGAATAAACGAGCAAATAGATCTGAAACTTGTGAAAAAGTTTTTAAATCAAACAATTGCTATCATATATTAATGTTAAAATTAAATGATTGTTTAACTTTTTGAAAGAAAAAAACAGACAAAAATTTAAATAAATAATTATGTTAATATTTCTTCTGGATTAAATATATTGAAATACTTTTCCTTGTTATAAATTAAAAATATAAAATAATAAATACTACAGAAAATAATACAATTTTTTCTTATTATTTTTCACTTGAAACAAACAACTGCTCATATCTTTTAAATAATAAAGAAAGATAGAAAAGAAAGCTCTAAAACATTATAACAGACACTAAAAAGTAAACCTTGCACTGGTGCCCATTGCACGGTATGCCATTTCCGGATACGGTTTCCGGCAGTGTTTAGCATAAACAGTCCATCGTTCGCACATAATAATCCAATTTTTTGATAGTATGCATGCTGTATAACAAAATGTAATTGCTAACAGTACCAAAATAATTATACCACCAAAAGTACCTAAATATTATACATTTATTATATTTATGAGCAATTTAATAATTTTTTGTTAAATTTTCTCTTAGATTATTAATTTAGTAATTTGTAAAATTGCTCAATTCATCATTTCGTTTATCAATGAAATTGAAAGTGTAAAAATGAAATTTTAGCATTCATCAAATGATTTCCTATACTAAAGGTTTATTAAATTATAAGCACTCTGTTTTCTCTTTTTCCTTCGGCTAATTTGTTAATAGTATTAATAGGTATTCCAGTATTTTTGTTTTGAAATGATTTATTAATAAGCTGAGACCATAGAATTTAAAAATATATATGATACACCATAGTTTATCAGTAATATGAAATAAATTTGATAGAAATATGTTTTTTTTTTTTTATATCACAAGTGAAAACTTTGAGGTTAAAAATATTATTTGTTGTAAATTAAACTTTTAATTGAATAATTAACATTGTGCTGGAGAGAAAGACTTAAGCTTATCGCTATTTGCTCTTAACCACATTGAATGATAGAATTATTTGTTCTAATAATTCAATTATCATATGATCAACTCTTTGCTAAAATTAAGCGCGAAATTTCTCTTTTTACCGGATCGAGTCATTGCAACCGGAAATGCAACAATACCGGCACCAGCCATATCAGCGATCAGGAATAATGCAGCAGTAATCCAGTGAAGACCATTTGGTTTGCCATAATTTATCATCGATGCATCATTAATATCTAATGAAGTAATTGTAGCCATGCTAAATATTACTTTTTAAATTATTGAACTTTGACACAAAAAAAGAAAATATTTACGTAAGTTTAATTAATTGCAAATTAATTTTGATAAACTGCAAAATTTGAAATTACTTAAAGAAAGATTTACTAACAGTTAGAATAATGGCATATCAGCAGCAATAAATGGAAAGTTTCTAATGTAATTTCAATATTTAAGTAATAAAATAATTGGATTATTTTAATCATTCAACTAATAATTTTATCAATTATTAGTAAATTACAATGCTAAGTTATTAATAAAATTGGTTATGCTAATACTAACAACAATATTACTGCTACTATTACTACTACTAATAATAATAATTTTATTATTATTATTATCATTAGAAACAAATAAATAAATAAAAACAATTAAAATCCTGATAAGAATATATGTAACACTAAGCTTAATTAGTGTTATTTTAATATTAGAGCTTTGTCCAAGTAATCAATAATTTTATTTATACGATTCGATATTTATATGTAATATTAAACAGAAGCACATGGTAATAACACAAGCGGATGAATTAGAAATGAAAGGGAATTTTAGAGAAAAGGTAGGGAAAAGAGATGGAAGAAGGTAAGTGCAGTAAATAAGACAGTTAAACTACTTAAGTTTATACCAACAAACCGGATTTGATTTCTCTTATCGTTTTTTTTCCTGTGTGATTAATGGTAGGAATGATTACTTGGAACTAAAGATCGGTTAAAATCAAAAAGAGATGTATAAAAAAAGAAGAAAAAAAAAAAAACATTTAGCTTGTTTTGCGGAAATATCAGAGTAAAGGAAATAATTGTTGTCATTACACCTCTATTTGACAATCAGTGATGACAAATGACAAATATTTCTTGCATATATGTCTGCATCCTTACGTGCACTACGTGTACATATATGTGTGTACTTTGATTTAACAGCTGATCCCTGATAAATTTTGTGATAATTTAGGTCAAAGATTTAGGAGAATATCAATTTAAATGCAAATATTATTAATAATAATAATTTATCACAAGAAATTTATCATAAAAAAATAATGGTTTATCGCAAGTATCACAAGGAAAAAGAAATCACAGAAAATCTCTCTATCAGGTTTTTATTAATATATTACCTCAGTTATTGATAAGATCTCTTTGATACTTTTATCAACAATACCTTTCATTTTTGTTTGCTACTATACTCTTATCACTTTGATATCATACTCTATTATCAATATGCCAACATTTAATAATTTGCTAAATTGATAAGACTCAACTAATATTATTACACTACCACCCTCGCATTATTTACCAAAATTGATAAGATCTGTCTAACACTGTTACACCGTTATATTTCTGTGATTTTCGAGATTGATAAGGCATCGTTGATACTGCTATGCTGTCTTTTAATAGAATTCATCGATATAAATCAATTATTATTAGTATTAACACTCAGAAAGTTGGTTAAACGTACTTTATTGCAAGAATGTTTGTAACTATAATCATTTACAGCCGTTGATAAATCATTTTTGATTAGCATACTTTATCAAAATTTTAAATAACAATTAAAAAGTAATCATGAAGAAGATATGACCAGTGATTAATAATGAAATCCAAACAAAAAGACAATAAAATAAAAAATCGGTGATATGTCTACGAATATGATTTCAAACAAATTTACTAATTTCATTAATTAGAAGAGAACTTTTACAAGAACTAACACAAACATAATTGTTACTTAGATTATTATTATTATTATTATTATTGATAAGTAATTTGGTAAGAACTGAATAATTGAGGAGTAATTTTTACAATAATTATAAAACTGCTAACTGAAAAAAAAATTGAATACTTTACCAAAGATTTAATCATAAAATTAACTTAGCTATTCTAATTATTCACTTACAAAAATCTCACCACGCAAATCTAACACAAAAGTATTATCTTGACATGACAAATAATTTAAGTAACCTTATTTGTTAACACAATTAATAATAGTTGTCGTAAAAATATGCATCTCACTTCCTGCTTACTAAGTTTTGGCGGAATATCCACCACGAATAATAATTACTTGACCTTTGACTTGCACCTTATTCACCGGATATTATCACCGCATTCATTGTAATATGAATATTGTAATTTTACTTTGAATTTCCAGTCTTCCCTCCTTTCCAAATTAATCCTATTTTGTGCAAATTTTCTCAGAATTTATTTTCGCTTCTCAATATTCATTTCTCCAAAAGTCAATTTTAAGCAACGCAAAGAAAAAAAAGTAAACCAAATGGAAAGAATTTTTGCATAAATGGAAAAAAAAAAACATTTCTGGAACATAAAATATGCCTTGGAATTTAAAACTTTAAAATAAGTTTTATTTTTTGTGATGATGTCGATTTGAGCATGAAACTTTGAAAATGGAAGCAAAAGTATGAGTTTTCCAACAGTAGTGAAAATTATAGGAAGCAATGACTAGCATCCGTACATATTATATATTTTACCTGTTTTAAAATTGGTCTCATATTGGAAGCACAATGAAGCTAACAAATGATAAGGAATTTAAATAAGTAGCAACTTAATTAACTTTAAATGATGCAAGAAAAAAATTTTTGATAATCAAAGAACAGATTATAAATAATTGTGGTAGTCATTAACTCCAAACACTACATTATTCAATTAGAGCCAAATAAAAAAAATAACAACAATGGCAATTATAGACACAAAAAAAAAATGCTCAATCCATCGTTATCACAGTTTACGCCCCCTCTGCACTCGGCGCCCACGTTGAGGTTTTGATCTTCCACGTCTCCATTGTTTGAATGGATCATATGTTTCCGAAATTGGTACAGCGTTTTCTACAAATAATTTGCTCATAAACACATCACTCATAACTGTTTTCTGTAATAATTCGCTCACATCAATTAAAAAAGAGTTAGTACTCACCAAAAAATGGAAAACAGCAAAATCAAACAACGATATACCGAACTGCTATTGAAAATTTCAAGTTCACATTTTCATAATATTTTTAGAACTAACTAATTCAATTTCAACTACGAATACCGAATTCTAGATTTTAATAGGAAAAAAAAAATAAAAACTAAATTTATGATTATCAAACAAGTAAATAATATTGCAAGGTAAAACTAACTATTGAAAATATCAGGATTAAATGTACTGTAGTCAACTCGTTGATCACACTTTTCCCCTGCATCGGTCCAATTATTTTTTCGACCTCGTTTCCCCACAGCTTCTACACTGCTTTTTTGTATTTCACTTACATCGTTCATCAATGCGATACTAATTTCACCTGCGCCCTGCAGTACTCTCTCATCGAATGTTTTTTTTTTTTTAAAGAAAACATAGCAATAATTCAAAATCAACGTGGAAAATGTAGCGAAACGATATTGTACAAAATGCTAGATGAAAATCGTACTCGTTTTCTCCTTTTCTTTAACTCATTTTTTGTTAAGGTCATTTCCTCGTAAATATTCATCTCTTCCTCAGCATTTTTTCTCTTTTCACTTTCCATTTGCAATTCACTGGCTGCTATCTAAAATGTAAACACACAATGAATATATACATTAAAAAAAAATGAGTTAAGAAGAATTAATTCCCTGTTTAAAAAGAAAATAAAAAAAGCAAGGTATTGACTTGGCCATACTTTTCGTTCCATCTTCACTAACAGCTGTTTTTCTCTTAAATAAACAATATCAAACTAATGGAAGTATGAAGACTGCAATAATATCGGAAATGTCATCTACATAGTGTATACAAAGATAAAAAAAGAAAAAACTTATTTTCAGAAATGGAAAATGGAAAAAAAATAAAGAAAAACAGTGAGGATAAACCAAAAAAGTACACGCAAAAAAAAAAAAAAAAAAAAGACTTTTTCTTCAGTAAATCCTGGATTATTTGTAGTGGAATCAAGATGCGACCATAATTTCTTTTCTTCTGGAGCACTTTGTTCCCTTTTTGCTGTTTTTTCGCTCTTCTCTTTACACTGCAATAAAATCTACTCGCTAGTTTCCTCGTGATCTGATCATATTATATATAATCCAATAAAAGAAATTAGTACGAATTCGCCTTTGACAGGAATATTTTACTGGAAGCACCGTCATAGTTCTATTTAACAACTCATTCATTTGATTAATGTAGTAATACCTCGCTGTTTGCCTTCGAACTTTGCTCAATTATAGCAATCCGATAGCACTCATAAGGCGTTGCCCAGTCTTCCAATTTTTCCATAACTTTAGTTAAACGTTCACTTTCCATTTCATTATCTTCACCAATTGTATAAAGTTCTGTTGAAAGGAAGCCATCACCACTACCTGTTGTTGCACCGTTTTCACACTTCACTTTGTCATCATGTTGTGTAACAATGTCACGAATTTCTTCATTATATTTGGTTGATGAAAAATCCAAATGACACCTAGAAAAGATAAAATAATGAAAAGACCAATTTCTTTTTAACAGAAATAGACAAATTGGAAAGAAGATACTATTGCAAAAACAAATGTGAGTCAGAAAAATTGTAATAAAGCAAAACAGATTTAAAAGAAAGTCATCAACAAGAAAAGTCATAATTAAAATTAGGAGTATGTGAAAGAATAATTTCTGTTAGGTTTTAATTTACAAGAGTTATACGAATTTTTTCTATAATTCCTGAAACTGATTAATTTACCGTTAAAATTAAAAGTATAAAAATTAAATTTTAGTATTTATTGAATGAATTCTTAAAGAAAAAGATTTTTTAAATCAAGAACTGCAAATGAAAAGAAACAATAATAGATAATAATGATGTTTTGCGTATCAACCACGTAAAATATCGACAATTTAAGAAATTAAAATGTTTAAAATTAAGAAATGTAAGTGAAAATGGTTATCAAAAGTATCATTCTAATGCCAACCTTAGCATTGCTTTAACTGCATTCATTTTATTCAGTTGCGATGTAACACCTTCTAATGTCAACGAACCAATATTTGGTGCATAAATTGGACGTTTAACAAGTGGTTGAT